ATCGAGGCTGAGGAACAACGCCAGCTGGCAGCCGCGGCTGCCCGCCTACAGGCTGAAGAAGCGGCAACAGCAGAGAAGCTGCGGCTACAGGCCGAAGCAGACGCAGATGCCCAGGCTCGCCGCAAGGAAGCCCAGGATCTGCTGCAGCGGCATGAAGCCAACAGCATCGAGAGACTCAAGTTCTGGCACTTTGAACTGAACGGCGACGACGCAACACCGGAAGAGCAGCATAAGGAGTTCCTCTCCAAACTCGTGACACGGTTGTTGTGTGCTTGCAACTACCAACGGTCCGAGTTAGAGAAACAGAACCAGGAACTGCAACAACAGTACCAGGATCTGAAGACACAGCACTAGGAGTTGGCGAACCTCCGCCGGATGGTGCAGAGCCACGAGGATGCAACACGGGCACTCAATTCCCGTGTAGTGGACCTGGAACAGGCTGTACCAGGACCAGATGCTGGGGCTTCCAGCAGTGCACCCTCTAGCCGCCAACTGGAGGAACGAGTCGACCACGTCCTCGCAATGCTCGGCGACATCAACACCGTTGCTGCGCCGACCACCATCAGCAATCAGCTGGACACTTTGAAGACCGAGTTCCAGCAACTGCAGTCGACGAACACGGATGGCAACAATCCTAAGCAATACAAGATGCCAACCTTTCAACTGGAGAAGTTCGACGACTACACACATCAGGACCCGGTGCTCTGGTGGGAAGCATTCACGACGCAACTTCGGATTCTGCCTGTCGCCAAGCACGCGTACATCGGCGCCTTGTTCATGAACTCAAAGGGCGGATGCTAGATCTGGTTAACTCACCCGGCAGCCACCCATGGCGTCGACCTCGCAGATCTGAAGGACAAGATCACATGGGAAGAGTTCACACGGCTGTGGAAGAAGCGGTTCATCGTCGACGACGCTCCAGCACTAGCCATCAACCGTTTCTTCACCATGTCTCAGGGCAACACAGCAACACGGGACTGGCTCACGGAATGGCAGAAGATCGCGGCAGTGCCCGATCTGGACTTACCATTCACGCATCTACGCCGTGAGTTCTACAACAGGTCATGTGCTGCACTGAGCCAGGCACTTGGTGATCGCGAGCAATACACCACCTTCGCTGAGATCATTGATAAGGCAAGGGAGATCATCAAGACCAACAGGTCGGCTGCACACGAGAAGTCAACATGGCAGCCAACCTATGTGGAGAAGGTGAGAACTGGTCCGCGACAGCAGCAGTTCGCTGCAGTCCAATCGGACACTGTGGAAGACCCGGCAGCCACCCAAGCGTCACGTGAGGGAGATCAGTTGGCTGCTGTCCAGCCGCGAAGCAACAACCCCCGAGTGAACGGGAAGGTGAAACCATCATCGCAGGCCGGAAACGGATAGCCAGCACCACCATGGGTCAAGTTCGGCTTGACCGAGGCCGAGTACAAGTAACGCAACCGTTACGGCTGCTGTTACTGGTGCAACAGCACCAAGCACAAGACCTCCATTTGCCAGGATCAGACCAAGGAGGATGTGCGGCCTCGTCTTAACTCGGGAAACTGAGTTGCACAGGAGGTGAGGCGACTCCACCTCTCACTCCGCCAGATTCGGCCGCCTTGCTAGCGGCCTCCTACACATTTGGGGAGGATGCGCATGTCGCAAGTCCTTGGTACACTTACGAGGATTATGCTGTCCACTTGGTCCCACCGCTGGACCAACCGCTCCACGTGCAACACTCTACCGCATGCACGGTTTCATCACCATTGGCAACCGATTCGGCAGCTTCGTCGTCATCTACCGCCGGGGATTCAACGTCATGGTCAAGACTTGAAGAGCTCGACCCGTTGACTTTTGAGGACTTCCAATAGATTCCCCTGCCCCGGTCCGGTCGATTGCCGAAACCGCATTGCAACGTGCTCAAGGCACAATTGCGAGATTACTTGCACACTGCAGTACCGACTCCGTTCATGGACGCCGGAGTAGAGGTTGTCGACCTTCACGCCTACATTGCGAAGATCGACAGCGAGTTCAAGACGCAACGGTACGACGACATCGACGCACCATTGCTATATGTACGTATTCAGATCGGAGAGGCGACCTGCAACGCTTTGATTGATTGCGGAGCATCTCGCAACTACATGAGTCAGGACTTCATGGTATGCGCCGGCCTTGGCCCACGAGTCCGAAGGAAGTCCCAGCCCACGCAAGTCACACTGGCGGACGGTCACACGCACAAGTCAATCGACCGGTGCATTGACAACGTCCCAGTGTACTTTGCCCCTCATGCAAGTGAGGCGGTGTCCTTTGACATTCTGGACACCAAATTCGACATGATCTTGGGCATGTCATGGCTGGGAAGCGAGGATCACCCGGTGAACTTCTACCGCCGCACCGTTCACGTTCGTGATCGGAACGGAGTACTAGTCCCATGCACGGTAGCTCCTCCTCACCCTTCAGTCAGGTGTCACGTGGTATCCGCCGCAAGCATGCGAGCTTCCATCATAAGAGATGACATCGAGAAGATGGGGGTGTGTTTTCTCCACGCCCTCCCGCCCCAAGACGTGTCATCGACGGACTCATCTTCGGATCCACGCATCACCGAACTTCTCGACGCCTACAGCGACGTGTTTGAAGGCCCGCACGGAGTAGTACCGGATCGACCCATCCGCCACGAGATCATCCTCGAGGAGGGGGCCGTACCTCCACGCAATTGCATCTACCGAATGGGCGAGGAAGAATTAAGTGTGCTTCGGGCACAACTCGACGATCTTCTGAAGAAAGGCTGGATTCGGCCTAGCTCATCGCCATACGGTGCTCTTGTTCTCTTCGTCCGGAAGAAGAACAAGGATTTGCGGTTGTGCGGCGCCAAGTTCTTCTCCAAGCTCGATCTCAAGTCGGGATATCACCAACTCGAGATTCGCAAGGAGGATCGCTACAAGACGGCGTTTAAGACGCGATATGGGCATTTCGAATGGCTGGTTATGCCATTTGGCCTTACGAATGCCCCGACCACTTTCCAAGCGGCTATGACAACGGAGTTCCGACACATGTTGGATCGATACGTACTTATGTACCTCGACGACATCCTGGTGTACAACCGGAGTTTGGAGGAGCATGTGGAACACCTGCGCACCGTTTTGGAGCGACTACGACAAGCCAAGTACAAAGCCAACCGCGATAAGTGCGAATTCGCACGACAGGAGCTGGAGTACTTGGGACATTATGTGACGCCGCAAGGCATCCGTCCGCTTGCGGTCAAGTTCGAGGCCCTACGAGTATGGCCCGAGCCCACCAACACCACGGACGTTCGTTCATTCATGGGATTGGCGGGCTACTATCAACGATTCATCACCGAATACTCAAGGATTGTTGCACCTATGACGAGATTACAATCGCCAAAGGTGACATTCGTATTCGATGACGACGCATGCCGGTCATTCCAAGCACTTAAGACGGCTATGCTCATGGCACCCGTACTCAGCATCTATGCCCCACCCTGCCAACGAGAGTGACTACGGACGCTTCCGGCTATGGCATTGGGGCAATCTTGGAACAACACGACGGCGACGACTGGCACCCTCTGGAGTATTTCAGCCACAAAGTGCCTCCCATCAACTCACGTGATGATGCAAGGAAGAAGGAGCTGCTCGCATTCGTCATGGCTCTCAAGCGATGGCAGCACTTCCTCCTTGGGCGTCGTAGGTTCACATGGGTGACGGACAACAATCAATTGACCTACTACAAGGCGCAGGATACGGTGAGCAGCACAATCGGACGATGGATGTACTTCATCGACCAATTTGACTTCACACCGAAACATCTTCCCGGCCTCTCTAATCGCGCAACAGATGCACTCTCGCGAAGACCTGATCTTTGCGCTATCTTACATCATGCCTTCGCATTCGACGAGGAGCTTAAGCGACACTTTATCAGGGGCTACGAGTCCGATCCAGATTTCGCCACGCTATATGCGCAGCTATCTTCGGATCACCCACCGGCCAGCCACTATCGCATCGCCGATGGGTACTTGCTCCTGCACTCGCGGGGCAAGGACTTACTATGTGTCCCACGCGACCGCCGTCTTCGGACTCGCCTCCTCGGCGAGTATCATCATTCACGACTCGCCGGCCATTTCGGAGTCAACCGCACTATTGCACGGCTTCGACAGCAATTCCGATGGCCCGACCTCATCACCGATGTCACGAGGTATTGCGACTCTTGCGAAGTTTGCCGACGAAGCAAACCCCGCAACCGCAACCCCTACGGCGAGCTGCGCCCGATGCCGATCCCGCAGGAACCCTATCTCTCCATTGCCATGGATGTCACCGGACCATTCCCCCGCGACCGCCTCGGACACGACGGCATTCTCACGGTTGTGGACCGATTGAGTAAGTACGCATGTTTTCTTCCTTGCAAGTACTACTCCACGGCTCCCGAGCTGACACGCCTCCTGCACACTGGTTGGATTTGTGGCCACGGTGTACCAAAAGACGATAGTCAGCGACTGCGACACTCGTTTCATGTCGGCATTTTGGACTGCTCTCATGCAGGAGTCCGGCACGAAGATGAAGCCAAGTTCGGCTCGGCATCCACAGACAGACGGGCAGACGGAGCGGGCACCCGACGATCGGCGTGACTCCATTCGAGTTGCACCACGGTGGACAGAAAGGCCGTATCTTCGCCGACCTTCTCCTCCCTCGACCAGCCGACATTGACGCCGCTTGCTCTCCCGCTTCCGTCCGAAAGTACAGGGAATTGTTGACTCAAGCCCGCGCGAACATGCAAAAGGCTCAAGTCCGCATGCAGCAGCAAGCCAACAGGCGTCGCGTACCATGTCCCATCCGCGCCGGTGATCTGGTTTGGGTCTCCGCGGAAGAGTTTGCACTGGAACAGGATGTTTCACGCAAACTGCTTCCCAAGTGGTTTGGACCATGGTCTGTGACATCAGCCGCGGGCGATGAGCCCGATGGCCCTTCATTTGTGATCAACATTCCCGAGCATCTGACGGTCCATCCCGTCTTTCATGCCTCGAAGCTGGCAACATACACGCCAACTAAGAGCGACGACTTTCCGGGCCGACGATCGCAGGACCCTCCATCTATGGATGGTCATCAGGAGGTTGACCGCGTCATCTCGGATCGCAAGTACGGCAGCAAGCCGCGACAGTACAAAGTTACATTCAGAGCATGCGATCCTGACGACACTCGGTGGATTTCAAGAGCAGATTTGAAAGCATCCGCACCGCTGATCTACGCTCACTATGAGCGTCAAAGGTTAGCCAAGGGACCTCCACCACCTGCCCCTCCCACCGGGACTGTGGTCCCTCCCTCAGACAGACAGCTTCGCCCTCGCAGGTAAGCTCGGTCTTTCAAGGAGGGGGGGGTGTGGTATACTGCGTAGCCACACGGGCCCTGCAGGGCCCGTCCCGCACTTTCAGCCTAAAAGCCTAAAACTTAGGGCTTACAGGCCCCGGTCGTTTCAGCCTGAAAGCTGAAAAACGAGGGCCTGCAGGCCCTACTCCGTTTTCAGCCTATTTCTGGGCCTTTCAGGCCCAGAGACTTTTCAGCCTGAAATGGAGGGCCATTTTCAGGCCCTCATTTGTTTCGACCTGCCCTGAGACTCGGGCACGGAAACAGGGTTTCGGGAACAGGCCAGAAATAGCCTGTTCCCTTCGGCATTGGCAAGAGCAGCCTCCTGGACTGCTCGCCTGCAGTCAGGAGGCACACCCGGTAGTACATAGGAAGTTCCCATGCACTTCCCAGGGGGGAGTTGTCAGAGGCACGAGTAGTCTTCAGGATTCGGCCGCAGCACTCAGGAGGAGCGCTGCAGTGGTCTTCAACGCTAGGCAGTAGTATTAGCACTAGTAGTAGTCTTCGGCGCTGGGCGCCCATAGCCATAGCTGTAGTCTTCAGCGCTGGGCGCTATAGGTGGTAGATCGTAGAGTTGGGAGAGATGGCTGGCGGAAGCCAGTGAGACTTACCTGTGGGGCCATAGCTCCAGCTCCATCTTCGAGGTACCTGCATCAAGGCGCCAACTTCACAGGTTAGTACCGGAGAGATAGATAGATAGATAGATAGATAGATAGATAGTAGTACCGGAGAGATAGATAGATAGATAGATAGATAGATAGATAGATAGATAGATAGATAGATAGATAGATAGATAGAGAGAGAGAGAGAGAGAGAGAGAGAG